TTTTGAGACAGAGTCTCACTATGTCACCCTTGGTAGAGTGTCCTGGCGTCACAGCTCACAGCAACCTCAAACTCTTGGGCTTAAGTGATTCTCTTGCCTCTTGCCTCCAGCCTCCCAGGTAGCTGGGACCACAGGCGCCTGCCACAACCTCCTGCTATTTTTGTTGCAGTTGTCATTGTTGTTTAGCAGGCCCGGCCGGGTTCAAAACCACCACCCTCAGTGTATATGGCTGGCACTGTAACCACTGTGCTATGGGCACCAAGCCAATATTCTGAAGTTTCAAAAGAAAAATAAAGATAAATAACAAGGAGATTAATGATTTAATACATAAACAATTTCTTCCATTTTCCCTCTGATTCTCATTTTGAGTATCACTGTTTTAGACATTTTCTGTTGCTCTTTGCACTCACTGCTCTACAGACATTATTTCAGTGCTATATAGCCAGCACCTGTCCTCCCTCCACTCAGGGTTCCAAAAAGGTCTGACCCTGGAGATAAAGGGATAAGAACATCTTAGTATAAAAGCTGAGTAGAGACACTTCCACCATCTCCCTTATCACCAGATGTCTTTGCTAAGGAATTTCAAATTCACACTGAAATGCAAGTTCTAATAGAAAAAAAACAATGGATGGGTTCATGCCAGGAATCCTAGCACTCTCTGTGAGGCTGAGGCCTAGGGATCCCTTGAGCTCAGGAGTTCAAGACCTGCCTGAGCAAGAGCAAGACTGAATAAGTGTGAGACCCTATCTCTACTAAATAGAAAAATTAGCCAGCATTGTGGCAATTGCCTATAGTCTCGGCTACTTGGGAGGCTGAGGCAGGAAGATTGCTTGAACCCAGAAGTCTGAGTTTGTTGTGAGCTAGGCTTACATCATGACACTAGAGCACTGGGCAACAAGAGTGAGACTTTGCAAATAAATAAATAAATAAATAACAATGAGATGGGAACAACGGACTCTAGATCTGGCTTACTTGCTGACTTGATTTATGAACTTGAGCAGATCCAGCCCGTTTTTGAGTAAGTTAGATTAGGTTATCTTAAAAGGAAAGCTGAGGTTGTCTTTGACATATCCTTCTACGTATCCTGAAAGCAGGTTTTGACAAGAGGGAGGAAGATGAAGGACACATGGAAATAAGGATTCCAGTTGCTTATTTCAAATTTTTGTCATGGGCTCTCCGTCACTCAGGGATGACCTTTGAGTTCTACCGGCAGAAGGAAGAACACTACCTCTTCTACCCAGTTCAGGTCATTGGGTTCCAGTCACCCAAAGCTTTTTCTTTGAAAACATTAAGCAGCACTTCTTCCATCTTTTCAGCACATTTTGTTTTCCAAGTTGTCTTCATATTCATAAGCTCACTAGGTCTTCCTGGCAGTTCTGAGGAATAAGCAGAGTAGGAATGAGTTGTCCCACTTTAAAGATAAGGAAACTGAGGCCTAGACAAAAATAATGTTGCTTAGCTATCCCAGAAATAGAAAGGTCAGAAAAAATACTAGATCTACTGACTCACAGCCTAATGTTTTTTTTTCCCCCTAATAAAAAAAAAAATGGCCATTCATTAAAACAATGTTGATCTAGCATCTTTTGTAATAACCTGGATGGAAGTGGAGATCATTCTTCTAAGTATCACAAGACAGAAAACGAGCACCACGGGTGCTTGATACTAAATTGGAATTAGTCAATCAACACTTATGTGTATATCTGGAAGTAAAAGTCAATGGAAATCAAGTAGAGGGGAGCAGGGATGAAGAGATAGGTAAATTCACATCTAACTGGTAAAATGTACTTATTCTGGGTGAAGGGCATACTTATAACTTTGACTTAAAATGTAAAAAAGTAAATTATGTAATCAAAATGTGCATACCTTGTAATATTTTTAAAATTTTCAAATGGCTGATATTTATTGAATGCTTACAATGTGTCAGAGACAAATCTAATTTATACACATACACTAACTTAATTGATTCCCAGTTTAAAGATGAGGAAATCAAAGTTCAGAAAGATGAAGTGATTGCTGAAGATCATACAGGGACAGAACCAGAACCCAGGTAGTTTTATTCTAGAACCAGAGCTCCTAACTCCTATTTTCTTGAACGCATCCATGTACTCCCAAAAGATACAATCCAATTAAGATTCAAAGAACCTCCAAGGTCTAACAAGGTATTGAACAATATGTATAGTACATTACCATAAAATATATTCTATATTTGTACTTCTTTATATATCCATAGAAGATCCTTCTGGAAGGTTTAACTGGTGGGCTCTGCAGAGAAAAGTGAGGGAGAGGGAGGGCAGGGATGAGAAGGAGACTTTTCACTGAGCACTCTGTTTGGACCTTTTGAATTTTGAACCATGTTAATGTATTTTCTATTAAAAAATATAATTTAGAAATGAAGCATCTAGGGTCAAGAGAGATGAGGAAACTCCATGGTTGCTTCCTGGCAGGACTATGATGGCTAAGCTTTTCCTATTCACCTCTCTGGCTCTCAAACTTAAAGAAAAGAAGGTGCCTCTACACTATTGTCTTCCGTTCCTCCCTCTCCTTTGCTTGTCCAGTCTCCCAGAAGGGTCAGTACTATAGTCATTTTATAGGTTTTAGTAGCATCAATAAAAACAGCAACAGATTGTGTTAGGCTCCCACAGCCAATCAGTTAAAGATAGAAAAATAGTAAATTAGCAGCAGGACAAATGAAGAGAGACCCAAAAGACCTCTCCCACAATTCCTACCATCCAAAACTTGAGTCCCACATTACTCCATCTCTTTCCTCTTGCCACTCGATCTCAGTGTGCCTACTCTCCCTTCTTCTGGACTCAAAAGAGCAAAAATAAGCAAGCTAGAAACACTCCAGGATATATTGAAGTGTATACCACTTCAAAAGGCTGTGTTATACAAAAAAAGCACACACTAAGGGAGAAAAAGTAAGCCATTGGGTTTTAAAGTCCACATTGAGGGGTGGCACCTGTGGCTCAGTGGGTAGGGCACCAAGGGTGGTGGGTTTGAACCCGGCCCTGGCCAAACTGCAACAAAAAAATATAGCCTGGCCCTGTGGCCGGCGCCTGTAGTCCCAGCTCCTCAGGAGGCTGAGGCAAGAGAATCACCTAAGCCCAGGAGTTAGAGGTTGCTGCAAGCTGTGTGATGCCATAGCACTCTACTGAGGGCAATAAAGGGAGACTCTGTCTCTAAAGAAAAAAAAAAAAAGTCCACGTTAAGGCTAGGTAAGAGCCAGCCTAGATGGCCTCCAAGGACTCTCTCCGTATTGGTTCTTGGATTTCCACAATCTTATCTCTCAAGAGTTGGCAAAATCCTCCAGAGGTCAAGTCACCAAAATCTATTTCCTTAGATCCCTTTCAGCCTACTCCTTAAGCAGGTCTGCCAGACAGGGCTCCAGTAAGCAGGAAGCTTGTGGCCAAAGTGGATCAAGTGTCTCCAGGGATAATCCTGAAGGGGCTTTAATGGGCAGCACAATTCCCCTCTCCCAACCACTTAAAATCCTCTCCAACATTTCACTGCTTCTAATGGGCAAGAGACAAGTCAGATGTGAGCTGCTGTTGGAGGAACAAAGGGTCAATCAGCATGTGTCTCAGGGGCAAGCAAGGAACACTGCTGGGGAAAGATGGATCCCACAGAATCCCCTGTCCCTATGTAAGAAAAATCTAACTTTTTTGTATGTATTTACTTATGCTATTGCTGTCAGCTTCCCTTAGTATTAGAATTCACTGAGTGACAGCCTGGGGCCATAAAGAGTAGATGGGGTTGGGAAACCAAAGGTACAACTTCTAGTCCTGAACCCACCACTATCTAATCCTGTGCCCTCATGCTTATGTTTTCCTTCGCTGAGGCTTAGTGTACCCATCTGTAAAATGGAAGTAATAATAGCTTAAAAGAATGATATGGAGAAGGGAAACTGAAATAAAAAGACAAACTTCTTGATTACCTACAAACTGAATGGATGAAATCTTAATAATCCAAACAGTAGTAATACATGTTCAACATTTTACAAAATATTTTTCACATCCTTTGCACAATAAATTTGCACTCAAAACTCCCATGACAAGTTGCAGTTAAGCCCATTTCACATAGCAGAAAACTGAGGCTTGGGAGAACTTTGCTCACAATGTCTGGGGTGATGGGAAACCTGAGCTACATAGTCTTGTTCCCCTCAACAAAGCAAATAAAATTTCCATGAACACAAACACTTAGAATAAAATAATCTCTCATAGCCAGAGATGACAGAACAGGCTGCTTCCTCTGGCAAGTGGCAAGTACAGGTGACCTGGCCTGGCCTTGCGCTCCTAGTTTAGGAAGAAAATCCTACTCCTGATGCCCACCCCCTTCCTCACTACCTAGGGTTCCTGAGGAGCCTTCCTGAGGAACCTATCCCAACCTATCTGTCCACCTACACACTGCAGATCTTTCCCAGAAGGACTGAGCTAGAATTAAAAAGCACCTGTATGGGGGGTTGACCCCCAGCCTTTGACCAATCTGATCCCTTGAAGGTGTCTTCCTCTGGCCTCCTCTTTGTCTTTTTCTTTCTATGTCTACTCAAATAGGGGTCAGGTTCAATTGCTCACAGGCACTAAATCCAGCTTAAGAATAGCATAGATGTAGCTTTGTGGGTGGAGAAAAAGTACATCTGCAAAGAATTTTTTCAACACTTAGTCGACCTGAGCCTTGCCATCATCTGGGGGCAATACTGGCTATTTTACCAATAGACCAAATAAAGACCCAGACAGGAGAGGGGAACCTGACTGAGGCACACCCATAAGGCAGAGTCACAATGGAACTCATATTTCTTGACCTCAAGTCCAAAGGTGAGAAACAAGCTCTGAGGCTGCTGCTCCTGGGTAAGCCTGACATGCTATGGCTACCTGTCTCACTACTTCTCATTCTTCTCCTAGATCCAGTTCCTTCAGCTCAGCTCCAGCCTTTTGTATCAAGGACCAGAAAGCCTTCCCTAGGACATTATGACCTGGTTTCCAGCTTAAGGAACTCTAAAAATAGCAGGCCCTCATTAGTAGAGCCAGATGTCCCAAGCTGCTGTGCTTAGGGTCTGGGCTGTGGTCATTATGGATATGGCTGGTCTCAGACCACCATTAACCCAGGAGAGGCTGGACTACTGCCTAAAGGGGGTCTTTCTATATACTTTCTACCACTTCCCACCCAAAATTTAGATATACTTGCTGTACTCTAAGTTATTATTTCACTTCCAAGAAAAGTAAATTTTAATATTCAGTTACTTTAGGTTTTCTTGAATATTGCTTTAGAATCATATCACTACATAATGGTTTGTAAATGAACTAGGGGAAGAAAGCAAAGCTTTCTACATTTATCAGTGCCAATTTGCTTTCTCTACTCTTTGTCTGTTCACTCACACCTGAGCACTTAGTTCTAAGTCTTGTTTGCCTTGCAGAATCTGCCACAACACGTGGCATCTTGAACATCCATTTTATTACTGAGTTCACTGGGCTCTCAAGCCTGATTTTAGGGATGAAGGTAAGGGGAGTCAGAGAAAACTGATAAAGGCCCACCAGCTAGGGTCAGTGTCCTATCATGCCCACTTAGAAGAAAGGGACAGCTGGTTGGCACTAGAGGTTGGACATGTCCCATAGGGGTGTGCTGGGCATGAGTGTGTCCCATAGGTTTCATGGGGGGAGTGTTATTTGTCAAGTATGTCCTTAGGAGTGTGTATCTCAGGGATAGGAGTGCATGTGCTAGGCATAAGAGTGTATCTGAGTGTATCTCACTATGCCCCACATGTATGTTCTTGCAATTGTGCCTTATATGCACCCACGTGTTCACATATGCAAATGTATACAAGCATGGCTCATGTGTGTCCCTCTGTATGTATTTCCTGCTGTGCTAAAAATGTTGAAGTGGGAGCCCATCCTCCATCCCAGGCTTATCAAAGTCCATCTTAGAGATGCCTGGCTCCTCCTCTGCCTCTCCCCCTATGCTATGGTGTCCACTTCCCAGCCCTCTTGCCAGCCTGCACAATTCTTGGAGAAGGAGGAAAGTGGGCATAAGAGAGACAGTAGGAGGTACAGCTAAAAGTAGCTGCTGCCTTTAGGCACCACACTCTGAGGGGGTGGGAGTGGGAGTGGGTTCTCAGCACATCCTTCCTGCACCCAGCTGGGAATGTAAGTTCATGGCTTTCTCTACTTTAAAAAAGGCAGGCAGGCAAAGAAATAAACTGCCAGAGCCATTCCTAGAGCTCATTTTGCATGTGTAGTGCTTGCCTCCTCTGGGCTCCGAGGGTGGATAGCCACTCAGTACAGGGCTGCATCTATAACTCCCTGCCTCACAAGAGCTAACATGGCATCCAAGAGACTCTGTGTTCCCTTTACCCTCATCCCACTCCCTAGCACCCCAAAGACTG